TCTTTGGAAACCTAATATTCAGAATTTGGGAAGTAAGGATTTCATGATATCATTAGCAAGTTAGATAACCGCGAATTTCGAATATTTCAAAGTTCATGTCTATTGCACCTCAAGCTAAAGGATACTGTAAAACCGAAAATCAATAATTGATTAAAACCCATGTACTGAAATAGGTATGTGACGGAGAGATTATAGGGTTTAGGGCTGCTTTAATCAAAAATGCATATTTGTTAGTCATACTGATATACTAGGACGTAAGGTCCGCTAATTTTTCTAAATTCTTCTCAAATTTGAGCTGAAAAGTTGCAAATATGCTATTCGATGATTCGAGAATGATCTCTCTATGTTAACAGAGCAGCGTAAGTTGGAATAGAGATGACAAACTTCCAAGTTGGTTAGAGATGAAGAGAAGAAGACCCAGTTCAAAATAGTAAGGGCATGGGCAGGAGCAAAGCAGTCGGCTGGAACTATTTAGGAGTTACTTGGGAACGAACTGCATTCTCCCAAAGTAAGCGCAGGGCGGCTCACCTTTTATCACTGTGTTCGCAACAGCGTCGCGTAACTTGGGTGCATGTTAGGTTTCGCAACGAACAACGTCATTGTGAAATAGGCAGGCCTTGCTATAAGTAGCAATGACGTCATGAATTCAGCAGTGAATATTTATAAACTTTTATGCTTATTTATCTTTAAAAGTTTCCGAGCTGAGCTGTCCGCCTTACCATCCTTTAAAGTTTGAGTTACCATTTAGAACTCGGTACGACACAATCTATCGTTGAATAAACAGTTTCGAAGATTGGATCGGAAAGAAGGAGAAAAAGGTTTGTAAATGAATTTATGAAACGATAAAGGGATTACTATGCTCGACTATCCTAGGATCATTATGGGTTTGCGTCGATACCCCAGAGAAAAGACCACGTTCACTGGAAGGCTCACCTCCTAGGATCAATCCAGCCATTGAACGACTTTACATGGAAGGTAAGGAGGGAGGAAGCTTTAACAATTGAAATTTTCTCTAAAGAAAGAAAACTTTAAAACTGCCATAGGA